GAGGAGAGAGCTACTGAATTGTGCTCTTTATGGGTTGAATATCTGAAAGATCCAGATTGGCATCCTTTCAAATGCATTAAAGTTGAAGGAGAAGGAGAAGAACACCAGGTTTGCCTTGCAAAGCTCCCATTTATTCTGGTCTACAACTAATTTTTCTAATTTGAGTTTTTCCCTCAATGGACTTTATGCACTTGCATCATATTATGTGCATGTCTTGGTTGAAATGTTTGTATGCAAGTGTGGATATAATTTTGTGCAAACTTCCAAGAGAAGTTAAAATTCTACACGCTTTTCCTCTCTCTTTCCATTGCAACAAAAGTTTATCTGAATTTGTTGTGATGATCAACTTCTTTTGTCTCCTAAGCTCATTGAATTTTGTAAACCTTCCAGGACTCCATTTCATGCTCACTGATAATTGATAGCTAGTGATTGGTTACTTTATTAGACAAAAATATGTATGCAAGTGTGGTCTGGAAGGTAATTTATCAATCATATACCTAAGCTCACCATATCTGATCTACACTTCATGTTTGGTCGTTAATTGCTTGCTGTTGACTGACACTGTCCTGTTATGTGGCATGGGGTTTTAAGTTGGAATTGTTGGCTGCTCAGTTCCTGAGCTATTTCTAACTCTTGTGGCCTTCTTTTCTTGGTGAAGATTGTTCCTGACGGTTTGCTGTGATTCTGTTTCAGGAAGTGATAGATGATGAAGATGAAAAGCTGAAAGATCTGAAGTATGAAATGGGTGAAGAGGTTTACCTGTCAGTCATAGCAGCTCTAAAGGAGATAAATGAATACAATCCCAGTGGGAGGTATATAATCTCAGAATTATGGAATTATGCAGAAGGAAAGAAGGCAACACTGAAAGAGGGGGTAGTATATCTACTTAAGCTGTGGGACACAAGTAAACGCAAAAAGGGAATGCTTTGAAGGTTAGTTTAACTCATTTTAAGATACCAAACTACTAACTCAGCACGATTTTGCATGATTGAGATTGTATTTCTAGTTTTAACATCTCATGTTGGAGTTTCAACTGTAGTAGTAAATATTGTTCTAGTTTCCTAGAAGCATGGATAGAAACCAGCTGGCATGTTGCTTTATTCTTTAATGTCAGTATGTTTCAAGTCTATGAAACTTGATTTTTATGTTTGCAGGATCTTGGCTCCTAGGAGAGACACCATTATCAAAATGAACGGCATCCATAATGTAGCATTTGAGCTGGTGTACTATTCATAAAAAATGATATTGTTGATGTAGTCTTTTAGTTTTTAGGCACTGAATTGTTAATCAATGCCTCTTCTTGTCATTTCGGTTATGTAGACCCATTTAACTTGAACTTTCAAGGTCTGTATTGCAGTAGGTCTAAGGTTGCGTTTACTTGTCTTGGAGGAGAGTGTGCTTCATGTAGCCATTAATGCCTTGTAATAATGAACCCAATCGCTGTGTGCAACTGTGGATCCGTTCTCATCTTAATAATATATTTACTTCTCTTTTTTTTTTATTCTTCTACATTAGATTTGTAATTTACCGATCTACGGTGAGGATGAAGCCAGGCAGACTTCTTCCATTTTGGACGTCTTAGAGCCGGCAAGGCAATGTGGGTGATAGAGCCATAGAGGAGGGGTGCTGGTAGAAGTTGCAGAGAAGAGCCTGGGCTCTCTCCGATACAGATGGCGGAGGACAGGAAGGGGCTATTTTCACTGCGATTCCGCCATACAAGAAGTGCTAACCGCACTCTGTTGTGTTGAGTGTCGTTGCACTTTGGCAATGATTGGCCCAAATTAGCATATTAAGTGTCGTTTGGTGTGATTTGAGCTTTTAATAAAAGTTGCCGGAAAAAAATTATTGTAAGAGTGTTCTTTTTGTAAATAAAAAAAATTAAGATAAAATAAAAATAAAGTATTAATTTTATTAAAATCTAAATGAAAAATTCTCATAAAAACACAAATTTAGTGTTTTTGAGATTTAGAATGAAATAAATAAAAAATTAACTTTTAAGAAATTATAGTATTTAGTGCGATTGAAAATTTTAAAGTTCATGGCTTCTCACTTACTGTATCAAATATGAACTAAAAGAAATTAAATTTAAATCAATTATTGTCCAGAGATAAATGTTAGCTGCACTTAGCTAATACTTTTCTCTTCATTGACCTTTTTTTTAAAAAAAAATAAAATAAAATGAAAACTAGATCAACGGAGAGGGGAGTGCTGCTACATTTGGCACTTTGACAGCCCGCCAATTGCAACTACACTCCTTTTGATCGAACGCAGCTAGCACTTCTCCTGTCATACAAGGCAATAATTTATCTCAGTCTTTCGGAGGGAAAAATGAATCACACCACTCAATTCATTATGGTGGGCAATGGAGGGGCAAAATAGTCATAGACGATTCCTAACCATAAAAGTGACAACAGTTGTACATATCTCCAGAGTCTATCGTATTATGTATTAAGGATTGTTTGGTGTAATTTTTTTTAAAAATAAAGATCATATTTGGATTAGTTTGTAAGAATTTTTATTTTTATTTTACTGTTTATGAGTGATAAATTTAAATTTTTATTGGAGAAAAAAATATAAAAGTTGCTTTTAGAGATAAAAAAGTAAGTAAAAAAAATAAAAAAAGAGTTTATAAAAAATTTTAATTTAAAATTTTTGAATTTTTACTGATTAAAATATTTTTAAAGTTAAAAAAAAGTTTAAAAATATAAGTTTTTGAAAGAAAAATTCAAACTTATGAAATATAAATAGTGTCAAAAAATTAAAGCAGTTAGAAGCTGAACTAAACATATTCTAAATATAATTTTAGGAGTAAAAGTTATAAATTTTAAATTAAAAAAAAAAGATTGAATTTAATAAGTTGTATTTAATTTTAAAAGTTCTTTTATTTTTCCTATAAAAAAAGTTCTTTAAAAAAAATTAATTTAAAGTTGAAGTTCTATATAAAATTTATAATAAAAATAAATAACATCATTGCAAAGTTACTGTTAAGCCAAACACGGTGTTATGGGATGCATCACGTGGTTGGACATGGCAGTTGGCATTCGTATAGCATTCATTCCTCTTCTACCCCTTCTTCATTTTTAGCATGGTCTTAGTACACCTTTAAGGCTTCAACAGAATTTTTCCTTCAACAGAAGCCTCTGACAGCATACCAAAAACAGAGACAGCGGAAACTGCAGACCCCGTGATTCTTGAAAAGAAACATGAAAGAGGAAACTGGGAGGACCATGCATTTTCAGGAGGAGCTCAACTTTGAAGAGGTTAAACCCATTCTGATTCCATTTCTCTCTTTAGTCCCATTATTGTTTTCTTGGTAAATTGACATTTTTTCTGTTTTTTTACGAATCGGTGTGGTGGTTTTTCTTCCACCCTTCTGGTAGATTTATGTTTACCTGTTTAACCTTCAATATTTGGAAATAGTATGGTGCCATTTCAAGTTTCAAAGTATCAAGTGAGAGTAGAAAGTGTATGCTTTTGTTTCTGTCTATTCATGTGTTGGGTAAATTATGCCTTTAAAACCAATTTCAATGATCCCTTTTTCCATTCATGCATTCAGCATTTTGCAGCAAAAATTTGTTGAATGCCTTGAAAAAACCTGTAGAAAGTCCCAAAAGGTTGTTGCTTTTGTTTCATAAAATTCAGAATTTAATCCATTTGTAACACTTTCTTTTTTTTTTTTGGTGGCAGAAATTTCAACCTCATAGTCAACTGGGGAGAGGCAAGTGCAGAGAGGAGCAGGAAAGTGGCCAACATGGAGAGGACTTCAGGGGCAATGTATGTGAAGAGGCACTCAAGAAAGAGCGTAAAATTGTTGCATCTCTTATACAAGAGATTGAATACAAAAACCAGCATCTATCTGAATTGCAGCAAAAATATGATGAGACAACAGCAAGTTTTCGAGCACTTATAACTGAACTCACAGAAAACATCAACTTCCAGCATAAAAAATTTCTGGCAATGGAGCTAGAGTATCAGATAAGAGAGAAAATGCTGATGGATGAGAATACCAGGTTGCACAAAGACTGTGGTGCAGGTATATTAGGTCCCTTAATACATACCAAATGAACAAATATACATTGAATCATAAGTAGAAAAGGCTGAGGATTGCAAGGAGAGGCTGTTTTGTATGTAAAGAGAGTGGTTTTCTATGGGGCAATTCATGTTATAAAATCCTTCTCCTTGAAGTCGAAAACAGTTATGATTTTTCTTTGCATATTCATCTGCATACTATCATTTCATTTTCCCTTTTTAGAATTTGCAGGCTTTCCTTCCTTCAAAATTCCCCTTAAAGGGTATGCACATTTGATACCCAGAGAGACCTGGGACTCTCTACATAGTATATCATCATTTCATTACTTCTTTATTTAAATGATTTAATGAGAGAAGTTGTGAATTCTAACAAGTATAAAAATGATTCAGGTTGCATGAACAACCTGGAAGAATATGAAATATTTGATCTCTATGAGACTTGAGCATGTTCAAAAAAAAGACACTCCATTCCTTGTAGTTGTCTAAACTTACAAGCATAGAACTTAACACTTGAGCTTTAGTTTGTTACCGTGATGTTCTGAAGCATTTAAAATGTATTGGATGGTCACTGCTGTGAATACTTGAGGGATGTTCATTTAAAATACCTTCTACTGTTTCCATGTTGCTTTGTACAAATGCAATATGATTATTTTCAAATTGCTACAGTTAAACAATATTCTGATGCATAGAAACATTAATGCATAGAATCCTCTGAAACTCTAAGCATGTTCTAAATATGTATGATGATGTCATATTTCAGAACACTCATCACAATGCACCCATGGAAAACTTGTTGCATTTTCTCTGTCTTGTTAATATCTTTCTTTTCATTCATCTGTGTTCTTTTGGTTAGTTCTGAAATGTGATAAATTTGCTCAGCATTTAGGTTATCTATACCTTGATGCAATGCCTGCTTGAATGTGCTCCTCATGTTTTCTCATAGTTTGAGATTTTCCAGAGATTAGATGGATGCAGTCTCAGAATAGGAGGCTGCACTGTGAACTTGAGGGGAAAACCAGGGCCCTGGAGGAGTGCAAAACCCAGAAATATTTGAAGCATTGTGAGCACAGAAGATTCTTGCAAGAAATAAAAAAGGTTAGTATTCTTATGGATAAAGTGATTGGATTGTTTTGAAAAAGACCTTTTGAATTCTGCAATAGATAATGAGCAGCTAAATTCATGCCCATGATGATTGGGAGAAGGAATGCCATTGCCCATTGATGAGGAACACGTGTCCCAAGTCTTTGTAGGGTAGATTTAAGGCCGCTCATGGAAGTCTTTATTCTATCTCTGGCATTCTTTGATTTTAAAGTCATATGGAAAATAAGTCATTGTGTCCCATTCCATGCTTGTTTTGTGCTGACTGTTACTCTGTGCTAATTTCATATTTATGAATCTCGTTTTTCTAAGTATATTTTGCCATTGAACTGACTTTGACAAATTGAATAATATCTGATGCAGCTGAAAGAGGAGTTGCAATTGCAAGACCAAAAATCTAAAGCAATTGAAAACAACTTTGCTGCTCAGATTACTGAACTGAGAAATGAGTTGGAGGAAAAATCTGACGAACTGCAATATCAGGAAAGCCTCAACAATACTCTGATACTTAAAGAGTTGTTGAGTAGACAAGAGCTCCAGGATGCTCGTAATGAATCTATAAATGTATAATTTAGCTGCTTCTACACCACTTTCTTTTATCTTTTTGCTCAATCAATCTTTCGAGATAAGCTCAAAATGTAAGGTTTTGATAAGAGTTTGCCTGGTTCTTGTATGCAGAGTTTGAAAGACGTGTTAAATAACCGAACAACCCTAGTTATCAAAAGAATGGGGGAAATTGATCCAAAAGCTTTTCAAGAAGCATGTTTGCAGAAGTTCCCCAATGGTGACTTGGAGTATATCTCTGCTAAACTATGTTCATCATGGGAAGAATATCTTAGGGATGTAAACTGGCAACCATTCAAGGCTGCCACTATAAAAGGCAATTTACAGGTATGTGCTTGCACGTACTGTACCTCTTTCCCTTCATTTTTTGCGCTGTTTGAAAATAATTACTTTAAAATGTATACAATTTAAAAAGAAGGTACACTTATCAGTGGTCAAAACCATCTTATTTTATAAGGAATATGACAATGGTGTATTAACTGACTTGCTGCCCTCAATTCAACTGTTGAGGGAGGTCAGGTCAGTGATTATTATGGTGATGGTTAATTAAGTGCCTTTTCTATGGACATCTAGATATGTTGATCATTACTTATTTAAAATGCTTTGGAATGAAAGGTTCTAGTTGTTAAAATTTGGCAAATCTCTTCACATTGCTTTAAGCAGAATTTTTTGTGTGGCTTCTAATGGCCGAGAAAGAGAAATGCAGGAAATTGTAGATGAAGATGATGAAAAACTGAAAGAGTTGAGAAATGAATATGGCGAGGCTGTGTACAGGGCTGTTGCCAATGCAGTGCTGGAATTGAATCAATACAATCCCAGCGGGAGGTTTGTGGTCTCTGAGGTATGGAACTCAAAAGAAGGAAGGCGTGCAACTTTGAAGGAAATCATTCAATACTTAATCAAGCAAGTCAAAACTCACAAACGTAAAAGAGGGTCTCTCTAGTGTTGACATTGGATGTTTCCTGGTAAGCACATTTTCCATTATCCACCATCCCGATTTTAAACGTTTGAATATTTGGACTGATTTCTGAATTTAGTTAATATAGCTTCTAACAACAACAAAAAAAAAAAAAGCACCTATGAGCAGATAATTAGAGTATATGATTATTCTCTTATGCAATAAACTACAGTGGTACATTTTCTTGGTGACATTCAAAGTTAGCTGGGAATTTCAATCTCAATGATCCAAACTGAAATATTTGTGCCATTTTGAGATGTAATTCCCTTTTCCGAAGGGTAATTGTTCCTTATACTTTCCCCATGATGCCACTACCACTGGATTACATACTAATAAACTTTTGCGACAGGAGTATCAAACGGTTTATCTCATCCCTTTTTTGGTCAACCAACTTCTTTTGTGAAAACTTGTATTAGGTACTTCTTGGAATTGCTCTTTCCCACCAGCATAAAAGCAGTGGAGGTTATCTTCAGCAGTTTTTGGGTTGGATAAGAAGATTCTACTTTCTCTCTAAGAAGGAAGATGCTTTCTTAAGGAGAACGCTTTATCCAAGAGTAGCTAAAAGTTGTAATAGCTAGTTAGAAACTAGAGAGCATTAAATTTCTTTCCATTGAGTAGGTACAAATGGTAGGATAAAAAATAGGGTTGTGAAGTATCTAAAAATTAAATTTGACTCATTTAGGATACGCACAGTTGATGAATTGCTGCTAAAAGGTATTGGGAATTTGTAAAGGATGATGTTCTCACTTTATCTTCAACACAGTTTCAGTTTTATGCTTGTAAATACTCCTTGAGCAGTAGCATTCCCTGGTTGTCCTTTTAGCCTCTAGCATTATTTCTCAGTTTTTTAAGAGTTTTATGTCTTCAGATTGCATGCTCTTTAATTAAATCAACAAAAGCTTAGTCGAATTAGTAGATCCTATGTCAGATCCATCTTTTTTGTTAGTTCAAAAATTTTTAAGAGATTTTTTAATATGTACTTTTTTTTTCTTTGCATATCATAAAGAGACATCACCTAAAAAATATGCATAGTAACAACTAAAATGGAGTTGAGGTAGTATCAGTATCTACAAATTTCAACATTGCAATTTTAAAGTCAAAGTCAAGGATTCTTTATATAGTTACATTATTTCTCTTCCTTTTTTAGCAGTGGGTTATTCAGTATTTACCTCAAAAAATAAAAAAAATAAATAAATAATAAATAAGGGTTATCATGGGCTACTAAAACTCCTTGGGCCTAGGGTCCAATACCATACTTAAGTTATATAATCCATCTTCCCTCTAAACCCAACCATCGTTCTAAACCCTAATTTGTATGTGTCTTCTCTCTCTCCAATTTCGAGTGCTCTCTGTAGACAGCGTCATCTGCATCTTCGAGGTTTTTGTTTCGCGATTTTCTTTTCTGTAATTTTCTTCACGAAATGTTTTTCTGGTTGGGGCTATGATTAGAAAGAGAGAGGCTTGAGTGGGGTCGCGAGGACGAAGGAACTCAATTCGAATTCTGGACGAGAAATAGATTGAAGAAAGACTGAAACTTGAAGATGCCGCCGTCAGGCTTTGGTGTCTCAAGTTTCCCCCTTCTTCCTCGTTTCCCCCACTTTCGATTTGGATTCTCCCCACGATGACAGATCTTTAATTTCTTACACTTGATATGAGCCCTCCCTAAGCATTTTCGATTTTGCATTCGTTGTGTTTGTTCAGAGAAAGCACTTTTCTGTTTTCTTCTGAGAACAACAATGCATACATTAAAGGCCTCATCCCTTCTTGTTTTCTGGAAATGGATTTGTACAAGATCTGTTTTTGGGAAGGATGTGAGTGGTGGGGCAGCGGCCAGACAACCGTAGAGATGGTATCCACAGATGGAGGGCATTTTCATCCCTTTTCATCTACTGATTCCATCTCACATTTTTTCTAGTCTCAGTGTTGAAGAACTGAAACAGGACATACCTTAGATGGTGGGTAAGATGAAGTAATGGGAATGCTATAAAATTGAATGTGTGTCTGGGTTTGCCATGAATCTATACCAACAAACTTGAATATATACGATGCTGTGGCTGCTGGGTGGTGGGTATGCGCTAAAAAGCAATAAAATGCATACTCTAGATAAAGAATCCACTGATCTGACTTAAGGTCCAATGTGCCTTTTCTTAGAGGCTTTTACAATTAGGTTAAACCTTTTTTCTTTTCTTTTTTTAATTTTAACGTTCATGATTATGATAAACCGATAAAGCTTGCAACTTGAAACGGGTAGAACAAATAAGAAAATCCTATATGAGAACCAGGTGTGATCTAGTTCTTGTTCCTATAGTTCCAAAGTCTGCTTATAGAATAGTCTCAAGGTCCTGCTCATAGAAAACGAGATTCTTGGGTTTGCCCCCATTTATTTTTATGGAGTTCTGAATTAATGCATTATTAATTTATTATAGATAACAACAAACGTAAAACTTAAACCTATTTCATTTAAATATAATATGAGACTTTGAGAGTATGAGAGCTGCGGGCTGCCACACAACTCTGCAGCCACTTCAAACCCATATATAACATTTCACAAGTCTTTTACTCAGAAAACATCCCCACCCTTCAAAAATAAAAAATTCACCACACACTTCAAGTCTTTTCATTTTTCACTTTAAAATCCTTCAAGAAGAAACAAATAAACAAAATCACATTGAAGGGGAAAATTTAGATATATAATTAGACCCTGAAATTCTTCCCTGTAAAAGTTTGCCCAAATTGCCAATCTGAGGGGACAATGTTCCACGAGGTGGAGGTGCGTCGGTCACTGCCTGTCACTCTGAAGGATAGTGACTGACCAACCAAAACGATGTCCGGCTGCCAGTTCTGACCCCAGTTCCGCCTCATGCTCATCCACCCAGTATTAGAACCTTTCACGCTAGCCGTCATGATATCTCCGGCACCGGCGACGTTGGTGATCAAAATTAAGTGGAAGTAACGGAAACCGTTGATGGTGAACCTGATCCCTCCTTGCTTCCGGCAAGGCACTCTGCGGCCAGAGATAACAAAATTCAGGATTTTCAGGCTATGATTATAATTTTCCATTTAAATACTGTAAAGATTCGATTTTTACCTCCGATAAGAAACTGGGACAATGCCGGCACGGTACTCGGCAATCTTGAGAAACATGGGCATGGAGAGATCGAAGTGGGGGCGAGGAGGGTTGCACCAGCCGCCATTGTCACTGGGAATGGCATAATTCGGTGGGCAAAAGTTGGTGGCGGTGATGAAGATTGAGGGGCTGCCTGGGTGGCACCACTGTGGGGAATTAGCGCACTTGATCTCAAAGCAAGCGCCGCAGCTGAAGCCATTGTTAAACAGAGCAGTGCTTAGTGCAGCGGTGTTTACTCCATAGCCTTGGCTGTACAGATTTCCATATCCACAGGCACCTCCTGCGAATGAACAGAGGAAAATGGATGAAACATGACACATGCTTTGAAAGGGTTTTGGGTTTTCTTAAACCCCGAAGGAAGAAACAATGAGTGAAGAAACACCAACAAAAATGTATAAGTTTGAGGAAATTCAAAAATTGAACGTACCCATAGTCCCAGAGGCATCACTTCCACCATAGAAAGTGGCATGGGCACCTTGCCATGGACCTCCCTGGTAAACTCCTGGAATTTTAGCATCAACACCCGCTAAAACCACAAGCAAAAAGACAGCATAATAAGCACCCCAAATTGCCATTTCTCTCACTACTCTTAGTAAGGTGGGGATAGAGGGTTGTGATTTGTGAAGAGAAGGCAAAGTATGGGCTGCTATATATGGTTGGAGGCAAGGTTTGGTGGAGAGAGAAAGAGAGGGAATCACAATTTCAACAAAAAGAGAAATTATCTCCCTTAATTAATGCTATTTTTGGTATCTACTTAAATATAAGACTCAGCTTCCATCTTACTCCACTCCTTCACTTGGCGGTAAAGGAACAGTATTTTCAACCATATTTGAGATTTCAAGGCTTCCACTTTCCTTTTTGGGTTAAGAACAGCTATAGACTATAGTCTTTGTATTGTGCATTTTTCATTCATTATCATCCTTGTACATTCAAATCGTGTCATTGTGGTCCTTGTTGTACTTTAGATAACCATACAATTAGGGTCCTCACACCAACTCTGTTATTTCTCGTCTTCTGTTTTGTGGGGCTTCTCTCTTTTACAGTTATAGTTTGCTTGACGGAAGTGCCTTTGGAATCTTAGTACCATTTGGGAAAAAGGGTGGAGCTATGAAGTGGAATAATGAGGTAGGAGATGGTGTTGGTGTGAACCCAAATCTTTGGTTGAGTTGTAAGTACGGTGGCATCAATTAGAGACGCTCTGCCCACAATTTCCTCCCCTTTTGTTCCCTTTTTTGAAATTTACCTCTTTAATTTTTTGGAATTGAAAGGCGTGGTGGGCTTATGAAATAGAGGGAGGAGTGGTCTTTCCGATAGCATGGTTACTTTTTTAAGTTCGGTTCGGTCTGCCAAAATAATAAATAGCATTCCCTTAATAAATATTCCTTTTTTTTTTGGGATATAATTAAGATAATTTTGTATTTATACAGTTTTAAATTATAATAGATAAAAAATAAAATGATATTTTTAACTTATATTTTGTTAGATATAATTTTCAACTTATTAAAATTGTTTGACAACGCTTTTCAAAAATAATTTCATATTTTTTTATATAAGACTCATTTAACAACTTTTTTATATAACTTTCTTTATTTTTTTATATCAATTTCTTATTAAATACAATAAAATTAATAACTTAAAAAAATTAATAAATTTCATTATAAAAATTAATAACTTTTTATACAATATTTTTTAACTTTTTATATAATACTTTAATCAATTACCTTTTAAAAAAAAA